CTCGTCTATAAACTGGGAGTGTTAGAATTAAATAATCTTTAAAGTCCCTATGGGCTCAGATTCTGATTCTAAGCACTTAAATGCATTTTATTCTCTTTGCTAAAGCCGTTCAAAGATTGGGGAAAGCTTTTTATTCACACCCACCTCCCACCTTCTGTGCCATTCTTTGAAAAATCGGTAGAACAAAGCTTTCCTTGGCTTAGGAATACATGGGATTTGGTGAGGATTGGATTGAGTCAGGGCAAACTTGGTCTTTCAAAATATAGCCATTCATTAATTTTTCAAAATGGCTTTATTGAGATTTAATTCATATGCAGTTCACCTATTTAAAGTATATATTTCAAAGACTTTTAGTATATTGAGTTGTGCAACCACCATCTTATCAATTTTAGAACATTTTCATCACCCTCCCATAAAGAAATTCCATACTCTTTAGTCATCACCCTTAATCCCTACTCTTAGTTTCTCCCCACAGCCCTAGGCAACCGCCAGTTGACTTTCTGTCTCTGTAGATTTGTCTCTCTAGAGACTTCTAGATGTCTCATGTAAATGGGATCATAAGGTATGATTCTATTGTAACTGATTCTTTGTAACTGGCTCCTCTCATTTAGCTTAATGTTTTCAGGTGTCATCCACATGATAGCACAGATCAGTATTTATTGCCAAAAGATGTTGCCGTGTATGGTTGTGCCACATTTTGTTTATCCATTTATCAATTGATAGACATTTTGGTTATTTTAACTTTGTGGCCATTACAGCAGTGATTGCTGCTATGAATGTTCCTGCTGGTGGGCGTGTATTTTCAGTTCTTTTGTGTATAGATCTACAGTGGAATTGCTGTGTCATGGGGTAACCTGTGTTTTTGCTTTTTGAGGAATTAGCTGTTTTCCAAAGTAGCCACATCATTACACATTCCTCCCAGCAGTGCCCGAAGTTTCCAGTTCTCCTCATCTTCACCAGCACTTAGTGTCTGTGGTTTTCATTATCCATCCTGGTAGCTATAAAGTGATATCTCACTATAATTTTGATTTCCATTTTTCTTATTGCTAATGACACTGAGCATCTTTTCCTGAGTTTGTTCACTTGTATAGATTCTTAGAAGACATTTACTAATTCTGATTTTCACAGGTAGTGCAAACTGGCAAGGACCTGGGTAGTTTTCCATTCATTTTATTTGTTGACAGAATAGCATCATCATTTCTCGCAAAAAAACAGGTATTGATGAATGCTGAGCACAGTTAGTTTTACTCGACTGTCTGTAAAACTTCTGATGCTTAAGAGATTTGTGGGAAACTTTAGAGGCAACCTAGTACATGCAGAAGAGTTAAAGACTGTGCAGTAGGGTGGGCCTGGATTTGAGCAGCCTGGCCATTTCCTAGCTATGTGATCTTTGGGTTTTAATTGAACCTCTGAATCCTATCTTTGCGTCTGAAAAATTTCAAGACTTTTTTTTCCTATTGTTGAAAATTCTCCAGGAAAAACTAACTCGCAGCTCTCCCTTCCCCCATTACACCTGCCAGTCTCTCTGCTGTCATAGTTACTTGGTTATTATACTCAGTCAAATATTGAGAGACACATGCTTTTCCTCATCTTGTAAGGTGTGGTTAATTTTTGCTATTCACAGGTGTTAAAACATAACTGGAAGTTTTCAGAAGAAAAAAAGAGCCTTGGTGTGAAGTCAACTTTACATTTCAAAGTGCCTCCTTTTTCTTTTTAATACTCCAGTGTTTAGCATCCTATTGATAACATGATCTCATTTGGTCCTCAGCCCTACTGTAATTTATTTAAGTAATTTTTCGATGCTTCTCTTGATCTCTGTGGTCTTTGCTAGCCTTACCTGTCAAAAATAAACCCCTCATTGATGTCCTTTTTCTTCTTAGCTCTTAATATCAAGTATTTAATATTTTTTAACTTTAAAAAAAAGCTACCATTCATTTATAATCTTATTGACATTTCACCATTCTCTAGAAAATTATTCTCAAGAATAAAAAATACTCTTATTTGTGGGAGGATTCAAGAACCCTTCTGTAGTCCTCATCTAGGTTTTGTATAGTTGTAACATTTGATACTGGTGATAAGCCCTTCTTTGATTATAGTGTTCTTGGTTTTTTACGTATGCTCCTTTCACTGTCTTTCTTCCGGCCCTGCCCTTTGTTGACTGCTTTTCCACCTCTTCCCTTCTAATTTTGGCTGTTTCCTCTGGCTCAATCTTTAGCAATCTGTTCTTCTCCTTGCCCCTAACCCAGAAACGCCAGCATTTCCCATGTCTTGAGCTAGCTCCTCTACGCATATGACTTATGAACTTAAGTAGTCTTCTGACCCAGATTGAATTCCGGTATTTCCTGCTTCAAGAACATTTCCATTTGTAACTCCTTTGCTGCTGTTTTAAATTCAGCACATTTAAAACTGAGCTCACCAAATCTACTCCCTTTCCAACCTTCCTGACCTGCTTACTTCTGTTAGTGGTGCTCTGTGGTTGCTCCAGGTCCCAAGCTTGAAACCTTGAAATCTTCAAGCCAATGGCATGTATGGACTCATGAGAGCCAAATGTTAAATTTTCATGAATTTTGTGAGCTGATTGCTAAATACCATTATTATTAAAAATTAAATTATATATACCTACAATTAAATAAATTATTTAAGATAAAGGTAATAAATTCTCAAAACTCATTACTTCATAATTATTTTGGTACATGTTATTATTGTCTATGCTCTGGAGATTAATTATTTCCATGATGGAAATAGTAGATAATGGTGTGCTATACATTTCTTTCCAACATCACATTTAGTGATATTATATTAGTAGCTTGAAATTGGTCATGGTAGTATTTACACACTGTAGAGATCAACAAAGGCTACAGTCTGACCTAGATATTTTGTTTATTGTCTAAACTTAAAATGGAGAAGAAAATATTAATATTGCAGATTAATAAGTGTGCTGTGTCTTCTAGTACATTGTGGATACTGTAACAGATTGAAGGCCTGCTCTGCTCCCCGCTCTGGCTCTGGTGAATTCTCTCGCCCTCCCGCGCTTCTGACTGTACCCAGTGCATGTATAAACAAACCATCAAACAAACAAATAAATAAATAAAAATAAAACATGCCTCTATAAAAAAAATAATAAAAAAAAGAAGAAATAATATTTAAATGTGTGAAAGCTATTATCTGATTCTCCCTGAGCAGTGTTCTCCAGCTGGGTAATCTGCCCTTTGCACACACATATAGAGACACATGCCTTGCATATTTCCACCCCTACACCTAGTCTTACATGCTTTTCCCACCTTTTTTTCCTACCAAAACATTTTTCTAATCTTTTAGATCCTTTCTCTTCCAGAAGTTTCCCCAGATATCTCCAACCTTTCTCTTTCCTGATACCCAGTCTGTTTTAAATACTAGAATATTACAATTGGATAGGACTGTAGTTCAGTTTTCTACTCAAACGTCTATCTTCATCTATACTTAAAAACGTCCAGTGGCCGGCAGTTCCTTCTGAAAGCAGTCCTTTCTACTGTTGTCTAGAGAATACTTCGTGTTGGAAATTGATCCTTATAATTTCCAGTTGTCTTCTGATTCTGTGTCATGAACATTGCTTAATAGAATTGTCATGAGGCCTCCTTGGTGGCCTAGGGGTTAAGTCTCAGCGCTATCAACCACTGTGGCTTAAGTTGGATGGATCCCCAGCTAGGGAGTTGACCCACATGTGACACAGAGCAGACCTCTCCTGCCTCACCTGCTGCTCCTCTCAGCAGTGTATTTCAGTAAATGTGCCTGTTTTGCTCTCCACTCTGTGTCTGGTAAATCCTCTCCCCACCCCTTCCACCTCCACCGCTACCCTCACCACCTCTGGCATACACCTCAGATCTTCTATGAATAAATAAAATTGTCACTAGACTTGGAATCAGAACACCTGTTGCCACTTACTAGGCCCACGTGTGCCTTACTTTTCAGGGCCTCCCTCAGGTTTCTTTTCCAGAGTAATAAATTTCACTGAGAAGTTTTTTAGATTAAATAAATAAAACAAAATATGTCTGATTATAAAGCATAGTAGTCAAAGGCAAAAACTAAATCATGGGGGGAGGAATGAAGTATGGGGGAGTAATAAAAAGCACAACAGACTATGGTCGAGGGAGCTCTGACTATGGCGACCACAATTGAGGGGAGAAATCCTGTACTATCAAAGAATTAACAGGATAGTAAGAAAAGTTACCTTAAAATATATAATTTTTTAAAAGCTAAATGAAATCAAAAAGACCAAATGGAGGTCAAGTTTTTCACTTGGTGACCCTGGACAAGTTACTAAACTCTTTGCACCTTATTTCCTCATGTATAAAACAGGAAGAATAACAGTAACACCCACCTTGTAGATGCCGGGGAAAGACGCAAGAACATGTAAAACATTTATCGCAGTGTTTGACATTGACATTAACCACACATTTCCCCAAAGTGAGATCTGTTTTTTCCAAAGTTCTTGGTTATAAAATTGGAATTATTTTTTCTTCAAGGAAAATATCTTTAAATTCATGATTAGAAATATTTGGTGAGAGAAGGGTTGGATTAGAGATGTACTGGGTACCTGCATTTCAGTTTCCTTTGTATCCCCGTGGAAGGCTTTTTTGACTCTGGATTGACCCACCTGTTCATCACTGGCCATTGTATCAAGATTGATCCATAATAATCCCTCAGATGTTTCAGGACTATTAAAAGTCCTCATTTCCTTGCCCAACCTTTCTAGAATATTGTTCAGGGTTGACTGGAGTGTATAATAGATCTGGCTTCAAATAAAAACAATCTCTTTCTCTCTCTCTCTCTCTCTCTCTCTCTCTCTCTCTCTCTCTCTCTCAGCGAGTACTCTCCCATATGCATTGTATTCCAACCTGAAAATTCCAGATTTTTTAAATTCAGATTATTTAATTTGTATTTACCTTGAACCAGAGTCTTGTGTAGATAATAAGATCATTCAAGATCAAATAAAAATCAATCTGTTTCACATTCCTGCATAGGTCCGCAAGCACATCAACGACCTGTATGAAGATCTGCGGGATGGCCATAACCTGATTTCTCTGCTGGAGGTCCTCTCGGGCATCAAGCTGGTGAGCGCCTCTCTTCTCCTAGTTAGTGACCTCACAGGCGTGCCCTGTGAGTGACGTGTCAACCACTCTCCAGCACCAGGAGAGTGGCATCGGTGCCCTGTTACACAGGGGGAAGTACAGGAAGAGTTTTGGTGCACTTAATTTCTAACTCAGACTTAGAGTTTACACATGATGTACTTTCATCTCATCATATATATTCATTTCTTGATGGAATCAGGTATCTATTATATATTCCTTTCATATCTGCATGTTTTCTCCTTACTCATTCTTTTTTTTTAAACATTTATTTATTTATTTATGCAAGCACTGGGTACAGTCAGAAGCGCGGGAGGGTGAGAGAATTCACCAGAGCCAGAGCGGGGAGCAGAGCAGGCAGAAGGACCGAAGTACACTGCTGAGGGGAGCAGCGGGCGGCAGGAGAGGTCTGCGCACCATGTGGGACCCTTCTCCTGTGGGCTGGGAGCAGCCAGGGATCGAACTGGCGTCACAGAGGCCCCAAGCAGCTTCGCAACCCAGCACTCAACCGTTGCGCCACTGGGGAGGTCCTCCTTACTCATTCTTTATCTGTTTGTAGATACCACTGTTTCAAGAATAGTAGGTTTGCACTTAAAGATTTTTGAATAAGGCGTATTTTTTCCCCTAGATTTTTGTTTGTAGTCTACATAGACTCTGTTTTTCCTATCATGAAATTGTTTTATGTTTTCAAATAAGGACCTGAAGTTTACATTTAAGAGCCCAGGTATTGAATTCTTTTTTCCCAGTTTGCCTCACTTTCTCCCTTCTCTGTGATTCACCGGGTCTCACAGATTTGGAGAAGTGCTGAAGTTGACGTCTGAGCATAGCCCTGGATGCAGTACATTTGGGCTCTGTGGATAATTAAATAGACCCACTTTCTCCCAAAATGTATTAAACATTACTTATGGGAAACACCTACAAAATGAAGACAAACCTTGTCTGAGCCTCTGGGCTGTTCAGATGATATTCCTAAGCTTGGTTTGCAGATCAAAGTCACCTCCCCTGTGAGCCCGCTGTTTCCTGTCTTGAGCCTAGTGGAAGCAGGTGATCCTGTGCAATTCCTGTTCGATCTCTAGCCTCACAGACAGCATGGTTTTCATTTAGAAAAATCCAGGGATGAGTACTGGAAACCTCTGTGGGGAGAGAGCTGAAGAGGTGCCCGGCCTGGAGAGTCTATGTAGCTCTGCCCACACACTGCCTTTGGTGAATTCTTAGTCATTGTTTGTTGTGTTTCAAGAACAGCAGTTGGCACATTAGACTTTACTCCTTAAATAATATTCAGCTTCTTCTAGGATTAGGGTTTGACTTCCCCTGGGCCACTTGTTTTGGTTTCACATTTTTTCCCTTTGCCTTGCAATAAAAGTTAGTTTATCATTTTTAATGGTCTAACACTGACAGATGTCTTTATTAGCACAGCCAACTATTCACCCCCACATGGTAGATTCTGAACTAGAATGAACTCTGGTCCTCATTTGTAAATCTTATAAGTAATCAGAATTTCATTTTGCTGTGCTAGACTTCCCTCCTCACAGCTTACAACCTTATAATTTAGGCTATTTGACTGGTATATTTGAAGAGATTATAGTGATTTTACATTGAAATGTGATCCTTTTTGGTCACGTTACTTACAAAACAGGTTAAAACCACTCCGCTCTAATGTCTTTTTTAACCATTGAAAACTTACAGGTGTTTAGGGAGATGTTACTAGGAGATCACCTTTTTCACTGAAAACAGCCAAATATCTCATCCATGGTTATTCTCATCACCTCTTTCTCCCTTCATTGAATCACAAAAGCAGAGAGGGTGGGTGGCCATGGAGAACTGAAGATGTTTCAGCATTAGCAGTGCTCAGTGTAACCATCTGCTCTAGTCTTGATTTGGTTTTGCATCATTTTTGGAGGTGGGAGGGTACTTTCATCTTTTTTTTTTTTTTTTAAATATTACATTCATTTTCTTTTCATTTTTGTGTTGTGAATTTCCTGTTACTCTGTGTTGTCTTTGCCTTGGTTGGTGGCCAAAGGAGCCAGCAGGGCTGAAGACCCTCCGTCTGGTGAGCATGCCCTCTTGGCGCCACACAAACAGTGAGGACCAGGAAGAGGAAGATGATGATGATGTAGTAGGTCCTCCTGGGAATGCCGCACCCAGCTGGCACCCAGGGCCATCAGAAAGTCTGAGGTGCTCTAGGTCTCCAAGTAGCTCAGTTTCCAATTGCCTTCTTTAGCCACCTGAGAATGCGGGGCCCAGAGAAAGTGGTTAAAACTAATTGTGCCTCTTGCCACCGTTAGATGATCCTGGACTGGGAATTGTTTTCCTTATCTAAGAATGGCTGGCACAAAAGAATAATGGTGTTTGGAGATGTCGAGTCCTTCTGTGACCTGGAGACCCAAAGCTTTCTGATGGCCTTGCTGTGTTGTCTGAGCCCAGGTTGCAGAACTGTGGAAAGTTTAGCTGATAGCATGACAGTTAATCGCTCACAGCTCCACACCCCAGACTAACTGGTGTGCTCTCTCCAGCCTTCAGATTCTCACCTCACAAGGTGTCATTTGTTTACAAAACAGCCTGTTGTTTGCGAGCCACTCACTGCATGGAGATTTTATGCTGTGATTAACAATATCTCTGGTTGCTGTAGAGGACAGAGATTTAACTTGCATGTTCTTAGGGTATTTATTTTTGGTGGGGGCCAGAAGGAGTAAAGATTAATGTGTGTACAAGGGGCATTACCTTGCAGACCCTAAATTTTAGCCCATGGTCTGTCTCCAGAAGTATGATCAGACAGTGTCCCCATCCCCTGTCCTCTTAAAGTCATCTTTCCACTGATCTCCCTTTCTGGTACCTTCAGATCTTCAATTTCACAGGATCTGTCATCCTCTGTCACATTCACAGTTAATTTAGCTGAACTGGCTGAGAAGAATTTCTTGGCAAAAAAGTTTTTCTTAATTCTTTGCTTTAGGAAGATATCTTGTTGCCCAGAGAGGCCTCAGCACCTTGTACAGGATCTTGGGAGCCTGTACAGGATCTTGCTTAGTGTGGTGGGAGGTATCCAGAGAGGCGCTTCCACCCCCGTCTCCCACGGAGTTCGTGCCCATGTCCACCCAGGACAGTGTTTCCTCAGTGCAGGAACCCACAACAGGGCTGCCTGATATTTCACCAGCCTTCAGTTAGGACCAGTTTAACATTTACAGATGAACTGGGCATAATCTAATGGCAATGATGTTTTAGTCCCAATTTTAATGAAATAAAAGCAGTTTTCAAAAGTGTGGAGAAGAAAACGTTCCAGAGATAGATGGCCATCCGCATGTCCCCAGTGGACAAGCAGGCGTCACCCACTTTTGGTTGGATGGCACCAGAGGTGCTGAGGGGGGGTGGGTTTCTCTCCTGTGATTTGTGTGACATCCAGGGTTGAGTGACTGGAAAAAAATATTTTTTTTTCTCTGGAGTAGTATGATATTGAATAGCCTTCTATCACTAAGGTTTGTTGGCTCTGGGTGTTTCCTACATTGACACCCATTTTCCTGGAAAATAGGTTTCTTCCTGACTTTTGCCTCTCCATTTAGAAATTTTCACTTTTTGATTGAACATGTGTAACTCCCTACTCCCCAGTTTTAAAATGCTTACTTCCAGTTGCATTTGCCAGGTTTCTGATAAGGTTGATTCTGTCCATTACCGTGTGATATGCAGTTAGTGCTTTCCACCATTCCTATACATAAGCGCTTTCAGAGCTATAGAAGCAGAATCTCTGTTCCCATTAACCTCACATCCAGATTCAAGTTATGCCACGTACACCTGCAGAGGAACCTGTGGAGAAGCTGCAGCCCTGGTCCAGTGTTCGCAGTCAGAAGGCCCTGTGTGCTCAGGGGGCGAGTGGGAACAGGTTCTGCGCAGGGGAGGGGCGCAGAGCCTGCCTCAGAAGGCTGCTTTGTGTGTGCTCCCACACCTGGCTTCCACCACTGGAAGTTCTTTAGGGTCCCTCAGTCCTTGAAAGAGGAAAGGGGCCTGCACAGGGAAATTGGTGTAACTAAAATTAACATCCCTTGTTTGTTTTTTTGTAGCCCCGGGAGAAGGGCAGGATGCGTTTTCATAGGCTGCAGAATGTGCAGATCGCCCTGGACTTTCTAAAGCAGAGACAGGTAAGATGATCCTGTGTGTTCCCCATGCTGCAGGGGGTGTTGGCCTCTGTCCCTATTCAGGGATGTCCTCAGCATTCTGGTAGCTCCAGTGGTTGCTGAGAATGTTAATAAGAAAAGCAAAATGCTAAAGATTCAACTTTATGGACCCACCTTAGGTGGGGGTCATAGCAAACATGAAAGATAAACGGTGAAGAACATGGGAAGAGGCCCAGCATCCAGGAAGAGGGGAAGCCGGAGTCCTGTGTCATCATGAAAACTAGATGAGGGTGGTTGGACCGTTGGCCACCACAGCAGATCATAGGGAAGGGTCTTAGCATCAGTGATGTAAGAAGACAACAATTTTAGTAGAACAGAGAAGTATTTAGAGTATATTGGGCCTGGATGTTAGATTTTTAAAGAAGTTCTTCCCTCCCTAGATGAGAAAGGGAGACAACAACATATTTTTAGACGTATGAGGAGAAACCAGTGAAGAGAGGAAGACTGAAGACGAGAGTGAGGAGGATATGTAGAGATCTACTAGTCCAGGGTCTTCACTTCTAGACGAGGAGACTGGGGCCTAGACTCGCCCCAAAGCACAAGTGAGAGTGTAGCTGGGATGAGAGCAAACCAGGCTCCTGACAAGTTGTTGGTCCTCCTGCACTGTGCATGCTGTTTTCCACACGCTGTCCTTCCACCTGTTGCTTCCTGTTGACTAGAAGCAAGTCCAGGGATGGAGGCATAGGATCCAGAATACAGAACACAGTGCTTGTCTTTGAAAATGAAAAGGAAAATGCCTATTTCTCTGGGGCAGAGGAAAGGGATAAAGGCACAGAGATAGTTTGTGATGGCGAGGGAGTCAGTGTGTTCATCTGCTTAGAGAGAGCTGTATGGGAAAGATTTGGTATAGCTGTGGTTGCCAGGTAACAGCACAGGTCAAGATGACATCAAATGGAATGTATACCTTTGAAGTTAGTCCATTTTTGTTACTCTTATCAGCACTTCTCATTAACTTGGGGCATTCTCTCTCTCTCTTTTTAATATTGTAATTCTTTTTTTAAAAAAATTTGTTTAAGTTTATTTTATAGGAATTCTCTTTCTGTGTAACCCCATAACAGTTTCCTTCTACTTTATTATTTCACTGATGTAATACACTGTAGGCCCTGTGAGACAGGGGACATGATCTCATTCAACTTCAGTATCTGCATCATTGTCATAATGAATGCAAATCAGTACTGAATAAATACTTGCTGAAATAAATTGATAAATGAAAAGTGGTAGGAGACTTGGAGGCTGCTCTGGAAGGCATGGGGAGATGGGAGCTCTGAGACCAGGGAGGGAAAATAGAGGTGTAAACAGGGCAAAGACTGGTGAGGGGGACGAGGTACTTGTCTTTCTTAACCTTGAAAAAGGAAAAAGTAAGGGCTGTGATGACTTATAACAGAGCAACTCACAAGACCACATGTGCTTGCAAGGTTGCTTTGCTGGTGGGAGTGCATAATGGCACAATCACACTGGAAAATAGCCTGGCAGTTTCTAATAGAACTAAACACCATATGACCAGCAAGCCTACTCCTAGAAATTTACCCTAGAGAAATGAAAGAATGTGCTCTCCCAAAATCCTGCACATGAATAGAAGAGTTTTATTCTTAAAATTGTCTCAAATGGCAGACAAACCAAAAGCCCTTCAGTGGATGGTGCATAAACACATGTAGTATGTTGATGCAGGAGAACACTACTTAGGAATAAAAAGGAGAAAATGATTGATATATTCAGCAGCTTAGACTGGCAACTCAGTGGCATAATGCTAAGTGAGGAAAAGGCAGTATTAAAAGGTTCCATTTACCTGACATTCCAGAAAAAGCAAAGTTGGAAAGAGAACAGTGGTTGCTGGGAGTTGGGGGTGAAGTCGGGGTTTGACCTCAAAAGGTCCACATCAGGTAAACCTTTTGGGGCATGGTTCAGTTATCTTTTTTTTTTAGATTTATTTGTTTATACAAGAACCAGGGTACAGGCCAGATGCTCGGGAGGGTGAGAGGATTCACCAGAGACAGCGGGGAACAGAACAGGCAGACTGATGAAATACACTGCTGAGGGGAGCAGCGGGCGAGACAGGAGAGGTCTGCTTCACCATGTGGGATTCTTGCCTGCCAGCAGGGATCGAACCCATTCTGCAGAGGCTGCGGACAGCGTCACAGTGTGGCGCTCAACCGCCTGCTCCATGAGGGAGGCCCCTGTTAATCCTTTTGTGACGATAGCTATGCAAATCTATATGTGTGTCAAAACACCAAAAGAAAACAAAAACAACACTGACTGTGATTGATGAAAATCTAAACTCAAGCAAAACATCCCAGAACTCTGAGATCAACTTTTGTTTAATTTTTAGGTGAAACTAGTGAATATTCGCAATGATGACATCACAGATGGCAACCCCAAGCTGACCCTGGGCCTGATCTGGACCATTATTTTGCACTTCCAGGTAGGGTCTGCAAAGTTTGGGATCACTGTTGCTTGGTTTGTGCTTGGTTTAAACATTGCAGCTGCCCTCCGTGGGGCCTCCTTCTCTGTATTGGACAGTGAGCAAGGGTGTCTGTGGGGGTTGGAAAGGGTGGTTAGGGCTGGCCTGAAGATGAAGCTGTTGCAGCCTAAATCCTGAACTTCCTAATCATTTGCATGATTAACTAGGACTTTTCGCTTGTTTGTGCTTTTGGTCCAGTCATTGGCAGTCTGGTCCTTAGAAGTCTGTTCAGCTGAGTCAAAACTGGCCCTTTAAAGACTCAGAGAATGAAGGGTGGGGAGAGATGTTGGTTTTAATGCTTTAGAAGGGTGGGGTAGAGACTTATAATTCTGCTTTAATGTAGAGTTCATCTCTAATGATCTTAGAACAAGCCACAGAACTTAGAGCTGTGGCACTATCTTAGTCAGTTTGGGCTGCTCTAACAAAATGCAATTACTAGGTGACTTAAACAACAAAGGTTTATTTCTCACACTTCTGGAGACTGGTTAGTCCAAGATCAACCCAGCGAGGTGGGTTCTCAGTAAGGGCCCTCTTACTGGTTATGTCCTCACATGATCTTTCCTTGCTGCATACATGCAGAGAAAGAGAGTCTGTATCTCTTCATCGTTGATAAGGAAATTAATCCCATATGGCTGTTCTACGCTCAGGACTTCATCTAACCCTAATTATCTCCCTAAGGTCCTGTGTCCAAGTACCATAACATTGGGGGTTAGGGCTTCAACATCAGAATCGTGAGGGGACACAAACATTCAGTCCACAGAAGCACCTTCGTCGCTGGGTTTGTTTATGTGCTTAGAAGCACAGCCTGTAGCATCCATCATGCCCAGGAGCACTGGCATCTTAGCAATGTCCCCATGGTCACATGGCCTTCTTGTTACTCCCCCTGCTTCCTAAGAAGGCAAATTCTTTGCAAGTTTAGATTGCTACTAGAAAAAAGTGTCTGTAGCCTTAGTTTTAGAAAAAGGCTGCCTTGAATCACTTTAGCCCAACCAAACAAAACCATTTCTCTCCAGCAGCTCCCATACCCAACTGCTTTATAAGAGGCTGATGGATTAGACAGAGCTCTTATTAGACAGATGGGAAAAGAGGCTAATGTATTATCTCAAGGCACTAACTGCAGGGGCTGAGGCAGCTGTACATCCGTGTTGGGAGTTAGCACCATCTGCTGGTTAAAGACCAAACAGCAGGTGCCCCAGAATTTCTTAGAACCTGAGAAAATTTTTAGTTTAGGGCTTATTTCTTGGGCCTTTGGTTTGGAGCCAATGCTGGCAGTCTGCAGTGTGGGGTAACATGTATTTTTGTGGAACCTTAAGGGGTTCTCAGACATGCTTTAGGCATAGGGGTACATGGGAGCATGAAACTGGCAAGTGTGCCATGGCAGGGTGGGAACAAGGCCTGGATTGAGCTCTCACGGAGGACTGGTATTACCTCCTTGGTAGTACAGAGGAGGTATTTTTAGAGACACTGTTTCGTTTGTTCATATTTTGCCACAAACCTGCCCTCACTGTGGATGCCCAATGAGTCTCATAAGTGTGAGGAAAGAGGAATCTACCTACTGCATCTCTCCTTACCCCGAACGCCACTAATCTCTTTAAAAAAAGGGAAACTCATTGGCCCAGGAACAAAAGCTGAATTGGTTAATTAAAATTTTACTTTTAATTAACAGAGGAGGTGAGGTAATGGAACTGTTTCTTTCCTGGAGTTTTTTCTTGCTCTTTTGAAAAATTTGTTGTAGAAAATTCAGACGTTCATAAAAGTAGAGGAAAGAGCCTAAAGATCTCTCATCTGCCCCTCACGTAGTACAGCAGTGGCAAGATCATCCCAATATTATTTCACCCATGTGGTGCTCCACGCCTCAAGTCCCAGCAGGCTATTCTGAAAGAAATTCCAATCTTCATAGAATTTCATCTGTAAATATTTGTGTGTATCTCTGAAAGATAAAAATCTTTTAATTTAAGCAACTGCAATGTTATAACACCATAAAATTAATAAGTTTTTAAAATGATGAAATATCTGCTCAGTGTTCAGATTTTCCCAGCTAACTCCTTAAAAAAAAAAGTTTCTTTGAATAAGAATCCAAACAAGATCCACATATTGCATTAAATTTCTCTCTCCCTTTCTCCTCTGCGCCCCTTGCAATTTGTTAAGGAAAATCAGGTCTGTTGTCCGATAAGGTTTATAGAGATACTGATGGCATCTCTGGGGATGTCTTCCTGCAATGTCTCCCATCTCTCCATTGTATTACCTATAAATTGGTGGCTTAGATCCAGACCCCAGAGGCTCAGTAACATTCAGGTTCATTGGGGGGGGTGGGGCTTGGAAACAGGGGGGTGGCGCTGAGTTATAGACCTTCATTGCTGCATGTAGAAGACATGTCACGTGTGCTGTCTCTGTCTTCAGGATGTTGAGATTAGCAGGTGTGGTTGGCCTGATCCGTCTCTCCTGCATTCCCTGCTAACTCGTCACCTAGTGGTTTCAGCAGCTACCGATCATCATGGCTAGTTCCATTATTTCATTAGAAGTTGCGAGATGATAATATTCAACTTCTGCAATTCCTTAAAAATTTTGGGGAGACATCTGTAAAAAAGAACTTGACTTCATCAGTCACCCTGAGAAATAGTTTCAAGGAAAGGCAAGATAAAAAGACAAATGCTTCCATCTTAGCTCTCTGCTTGCCAGTTTTCACAATAATTAGTTGGTTCCCTAAGATTCTCCAAAGGTGACCAAGGAAAGTTCTTTGTTGATTTTTTTGTTCTTAGTCTCACTGCATGGATTTTTTTTTTTTTAAGATTTATTTATTTATGCATACAAGAATGGGAGTACAGGCCAGAGGTGTGGGGGGGTGAGAGGATTCACCAGAGACAGAGTAGGGAGCAGAACAGGTGAAATGACCGAAATACACAGCCGAGGGGAGCAGCGGGTGAGTCAGGAAAGGTCTGCTGCGCCATGTGGGTAGCTCCCTGGCCGGGGATCCAACTCGTGCTGCAGTGGCTACAGTTAGCTTCGTAGGGTGTGTCTTAACCCCTTGCACCACCAGGGAGGCCCTCACTGCATGGATTTTTAACAGATTTAAATGTGTTCCAAATACAGCGATCTTTACTCCTAACACTCAAAGAGCTCTCTTGTTGGAGCTCCATTGTTAAGATTAGCCTCTTAAAGTTGACTGAGCTCTTTGACATGAGCCCAGTAGTCTTTGATAATTTCTGTTATTTCTTGTGTGATGAGAAATCAGCAGTTTCTCCAAGAAACTGATTCTTTTTGACCGCAGCCTAAGTGCTACAGGCTTGGTCGCTGTTGCTGGGCTTTTTCTGTGGACAGAACTAGACAATATATGCATATTTTTCCATTAAAAAAATCATGAATTAATACTGATATTTCTAATTCAGAGTTAGAATTAGAGTTTTAACTTGTTTGACTTTATATTTGAATCCATTTTTTTAATGCTAAAAATCTTGATCCTAGCAATAGTTAGCATGTTATTCCCTTTTCACACATGCACACATACATATACCTGTAAAATCATGCATACCATTTTATGTTTGAATCAAAATATCAGTACTAATAATATGATTACTGAGAAGCTTATGATTTCTTTGCATTCTTTTTCCTCTTACTATAGGAACTTCCATCTTCTAAGGACGTACACAAAGTTGTATTTTAAAGTCATTTGAGATTATTTCTATATCATTAAGCCATTAATTCAGTACGTGAATTAAATTCATTTGTTTTTATTTGCCTTCAGTTTTAGTGATTTATTTTTTCCCCTTTCAATTTAAAGTTTATAAACCCATTGACACTATTCCAAAGAGAAATTTTAAGAAGTAAATACAGGTGTGTTCAGAGGAGCCTTGCTTTCAACTCCACCCTCCCTGGGGCCTCTGCCTTTCCCTACAGCTAGCTAACTGTACATAACACACCATTTTGATTATCATTCGATTGTTTGTTTATTTTAGGAAAATACATTTTTTAAGGACAAGTTTTTTGGACTGTAATTTACATACCATAAAATTGATCCATTTTCATTGTATAATTCAGTGAGTTTTATAACAATCACTGTAATCCAAATTTAGAACATTTTCATCATCCCGGTAAGATCCCTCTTGCCATTTACAGTTATTTGTCCTTCCCATCCTCAGCCTTAGGAAACCACTAATCTATTTTTCTGTCTCATAGATCAGCCTTTTCTGGACATTTCATATAAATAGAACCAGATAATACATGCTCTTCTGTCTCTGGATTCTTTCGGTTAGCCTGATCATTTGGAAGTTCATTCGTGTCAAAGCAATTTTATCAGTACTTCATTTCTTTGATTGCTGAGTAGTATTGTGTTGCATGGATAAACCATAGATTTTGTTTGTTTGGCAGTTGATGGAAATTTATGTTGTTTTCACTTTTGGGCTATTATGAATAATGTTGACATGAATACCTGAGTACCAGCCTTTGTAAGGATGTATATTTTCATTTCTCTTGGACATGTAACTAAGAGTAGGATTGCTGGGTTATATGGTTAATTTATACATGACTTTTTAAGAATATGCCAAGCTGTCTTCCAAGGTGGCTGCAACACTTTACATTCTCACCAGCAGTGTATGAAGGTTCCTGTTTCTCCACATTGTCACCAGCGTTTGCTACTGTCTTTTAGATTATAGCCATCACAGAGGGTGTGAAATGGTACCCTTGTGGTTTTAGTTTATTTTTTTTTTTAAAGATTTATTGTTGCATACAAGAACTGAGTTATAGGCCAGAGGTGGGGGGACGAGAGGATTCACCGGAGACAGAGTGGGGAGCAGAAGAGGCAGATAAACTGAAATACACTGCTGAGGGGAGCAGTGGGTGCAACAGGAGAGGTCTGCTGTGCCATGTGGCTTGCTCCCGGCTAGGGATCGAACTCATGTTGAGGTGGCTGGCGGCAGCTTGACAGCACTGTGTCTTTAACCCCTGTGCCACCAGGGAGGCCCTGG